AAAAAAAAAAAAAGTGGAAACCTCTTCCCAGCTACCATCAGAGAAAGACATCATGGTGGAATAAAATCACAGAGAGACGAAAGTTCCTGGCTTTGCAGATGGGAGAAGGGGAGCCATGAGCAAAGGAATGCAGGTGGCTTCTAGAAGTCAGAAAAGGCAAGCAAACAGATTCTCTCCGAAAGCCTGCAGAAGGGCCTCCCAGTGAGACCCTGTTGATGTCTAACTACAGAACCATGAGGCAATAAATTGTGTTGTTGTAAGCCACTAAATTTGTGGTAACTTGTTACAATATCAGTAGAAAACCAACACAGTTATTGTGCATTCTCTGGGAGAGAATACACTAGGCCATAAAGTTTTGTTTCCCAAACTTTCTCTTATTCTTCTGGTAAGAATAACTATTGCTTTTTGTTTTTAAACTCTGTGGTTTGCTACAGTACCTGGTTTGACAGTTTTACCAGAGCATATTCCTTATATTCCTCTCGAATCTAATTAAAAATCTTCTTGATCAGGCCACTGAGCCTTCTACTAAACACACACTTCCTGTTCTTGGTCATGTATGTACTGATCTCTTCCCAAACCCACATTCTGATATTGTCAGCCACGGTCCAGCGACTGCATCTATCTCCCCCTCGCCATGTGTGCTTAGCTCTTGGCTTCCTACAGCTCTGTTACCTTCTAAAATCATAACATTTGACTTGTCACCAAATCTTTTGACTTTAATTCAAATATGCAGACTATGAATTCTTCTGAAAGTACCATTAGTATTCACACAAGTTATGTAAAACTAGATAACAACTGGTGGCCTTAATAAACACTACAGGATATTCCAGTGTATCTTACATACATCCTCCGGGAAGACAACGTATCTCCTCACCCGCCTCATTAGTTCTGCAAGTGGCTATTTCCATTCTTTCAAACTAAAAAATCATAAATGTCCTCTGTGTCCAGTCTTTTCGGTGTGGTAACAAGTGTTTTGTCATTTCCCGACATATGTTAACCCTTCGCATGTTACGTGAACGGCGGATGCTGCTTCCTCTTTGGAAGGGTCAGCTTTATGCTCTGGGACTTGGCTATTGGCTCTTCTCTGACTTCGAAAGGGGCATATACATATCTTTAAATAATCTTCCCGTTCTTTTCAATGTCTCATTCTTCTATTGGGCAACCTCAACACGAATTTTGACTCTGCCGGGCCTCCTTGAAATCTTTTCATTCCTAACTGACAGAGAATTTCAGTATTTTAACATAGAATACCAACCCTATGTGGGCAGGTCTGAGAGAAGGAAAGAATTTAGAGTGAGACAAAAACTCTTGCATGCTCAAAGCTGTGTTTGAAATATGTTAAATTTATATAGCAAATCTAATCTCAACCCATTCCAATCCTTTCCTTACTAAGTAGCGGGAATAATCTTCCTAAGAACAAATCTGACCCTTTCATTCCTCTGCTTAAAACCGCATGACGGATCTCACATCTTCTGCACGTACCGATTCCCCCTTTCCTCCCTTAAAAGGTAAAACTCCTTGGCTTGGAATTCAGGAAACCGTATAACCTAGTCCCTGGTTCGTGCTGCTTTAACATCGTCCCTGTCTCCCAACCTCCCAACACACACATACGCTACACCTTATCCCCCAGTCATATTCAAACTATTTCATATTTCGGGAACATAGTGTGTCAGCTCAATCACCTTTACCTAGGAGGTCTATCGTGGAAAGCTCCTACAAATCCTTCAGAACCTAACTCACGTGTCACTTCTCTGGAAAGCCTTGCTCGCCATCTGGGCTTTACCAACAAATGGCAGGTACGTCCCTCTCCTGTAGTTCTGACTACCTGCTACCATAATTGTGGGGTCACATGCCAGCCTCTCACACCAGATGGTGGCCTGCGCATCCCCATGTCCACACTGCTGTCTCTTTTCACCCTCCCATTAGCTCAATGCCTAGTTCATAGTAGGTAGTCAGTACATGCTCGAAAGAATAAGCGCATTTCCTCCCATCTCAGCGATCCACATAACAAGCATGTGAGGTGCTGGAGCACAGAGGGTTTTGTGGTTGGTACATTACACAGCACAGCCCTTAGGTGGTAGGGTCAGGCTTAAATCCAGCCTTCCGTTTCCAGAGAGAAAATTTGGTGGCATTATGTCTTTTTATAATACTCCAGTAATTAATATAGAAAAATTGGGTTAGGCTCTTTTTGGGATACATTTCCACAAGGCAGGATTAATTTATTTTCTGCTCCAGAGTTCTACCCTGATTACACCCCAGGAACCCAATCATTAGGTCCTGCGGCATCAGGAACTTTACATGAGACTTTCTATTTGATAAGTGTGTCTTAATTGGAAAGTCTCCTTATTCTTTGTGCCTTGAGTCTTGGTGCTGGTTTCGAGACTTCCACTGCCTATTCCTCCTTCCCTTCTCCTGACTGATGTCCTCCCTGGGCCTTGACGTCCAGCTGTCCCAGGACCGATAGTTGCCCTCTGAGCCCTGGCTCCTCTTGTGGTTCCTGGGATCCACCAACTCACTCTGACCCCTAAAGGACTAGTGCTTTCTGGGAAACTGTGGCATGTAGGACTTTTAAACCATGGCCTCATCCAGACTATCTGAATGTCTTTCAATGTTAGCAACCTCTAAAGCATGGCTGGAGGCCTCAGCTCCTGATTCTGGGATTCCATCCTAAATTTGACCCACTCAATGACAAACTTTCAACTTGTTGCCACAATTCATTGCTGCCCATGGCACTTCATTTTGGCTTTACATTACATAGAAGTGTAGTTGCCAGATAATTATACATTTCATAAGTAGCAGATAGAACATTCTATAATTTTCCATAGAATTTTATGTAGAAATTGGATCTAAAGAGTTTTTGTAGAATTTATCTTATATAATTTATTACATAGAACATAGAAATATTATTATTATAGTGTAGAAATAATATATAGTTTTCTGAAGTAATTGGCTTTAGATGTCCCTGCATGCTGACTTTTTTTTCAAGTGAAAAGCAAGCCAAAAAGCTCTAAGGCTGTGCTGTTCAGTGTGGTAGACACATGTGGCCATTAAGCCCTGCAATATGGCCAGCCCTAATTAAGATGTTCTGTAAGCATAAAACATACATCTGAGTTCAAACAGAGTATGAGAAAATGGAAAAAGTCTCCCCAATAATTTTGTTATTAATTATATATTGAAATGATAATACTTTGTGTATGTTGTGTTATATAAAGCAGACTGTTAAAATCAATTTCTTCTACTCCTTTTTACATTTTTAATGTGAGTAACGAAACACCTAAACTTACATATGTGGGTTATATTATTTTCTATTGGACTGTGATGCTGCGGAGGACACGCCTGTGGTTCTTTAATGTTAGTAGCTAACTATGTACGGATGGTGCAGAATTTAAAGGTAGAAAAGGTTATGAGTGACAGATGGAAGCTTCTACCCTGATTTTGAAAATTTATGTTCCCTGTACACACTGACATGCCACCCGCCTTGCCGAGCTTTGAAGAAGACCTGACGACCTCCAGAGAAATGAGGCTGAACCATGTGGCATTTGTCTAAGGTTCCCTGCATGGGGTCTAACCTCAGAGGCTTAAAATCAATATTGATTTTTGTCATTTATTCTCCCCCGGCATTTAAATATTCCTTAGATTTATTACCTTTAGGTTTTGGTTAAGATTCAATGATGGGTGTGATAGCAAGGGTGGTGATGAGTTACGTAGATATCATTTAATTTATGAACTCTGGAGCTCCAGGGTAGCTTTCAGTGCAAGAAATATATTAACCACATACACATCACCCTTCATTCTGCGGTGAGGGTTTCCAAGCCGGGTCCCTATTGTGCCACTTAATTTATGGTCTGGCCAGGTACATGGACCTCCATACAATATTTCAATGTAAGTTGCTCCAGCTATCAGAGGGGATGGAGATGGGCTTCGAAGAAGTCGGCTGGACAGCTGATGGATTGCTCTCCCACACATAGCCTGGGGCATTAAGTAGCTTTTAAAGATTGTCAGCAGTTTGGGTCTTTTTCTGCTCTGAGAAGCTGCACGCACCGGCCTAGACAAGCAGAATCGGCCATGCTACAGCAGGCAGAGGGCAGCTCCCAGAGTTACTTACGTTGACAGCCGTAGTGCCAGGAATTTCCCGGCAGACACTCATCACACTTAGGCCCTGTCGTTCCAGTCTTACACTCACAAAATCCTGAGCCATTACAACGATCATGGATCGAGCCCAAAGGGTTACAATAACACTCTGTAGAAACAAGACAACACACAGGCTGGAGACAAGTCCGCATGGCTTATAGGTTATCAACACAGGAGCGTCACTTAAATGCATCACTTACTTAAAGAAAGATGTCCACTAATGAAATGCTTCAGCAAATATGGCAATTTCAGGACCATTTATTTATTTGCTCGGCCTTCCATGATACCATTTTTATGATCTGGGAGGAAATCAACCGAAAACTTCCAAGGAAATAAGACACTGTGCTTTTCACTGATAATAGATCATAATGTAGATCCCATTTGTTAGGGCATTTTTAGATGGTTTAATGAATACCATGAGAAGTTTGTATATCAAGGATAAATCAATATGCCATCAGTGTAAAATCTGTTTTAAATTATTCAAATGGGCTTAGCCATTACACTCAATATTTGAGAACTGCTGAACATTTTAAAAGTGCAATATGAATGCACTTTGCTAGTTCAAAGGTAGTTTTACTTTATGATTTGGGACAGCACCTTAACTTATTTATGTACATACTGTTTTGTGATGAGCCTTTAGATGTTGTATTTGCTAGGCATGATAGTACAGCTTTTATCCGGCCTAGATTAACAACCATAAAAGAAAAATAAATTTTGTAATACCAAATAAATTTCAACATAGGTGTAATTTGAGATGTGTAACTTTCATTATAATGTCTGCTGGCAGGAGAATACAAATTTGTGTAATGAACAGGAAATAGAATGTTTTCTTGATTCTTTACACATTCTTATTGAGGATGTTTTCACTTATGAAGCTCTCTTTCGCTTAAAACTTGAACCAGAAATGGGAATTCTTAGGCTTCCATCAGCTTGCAAAGTAGAACAGGTAGTTTGTAGCTGTTGGATTTTGTGGGTCAAAAGTCCTTTCCTCACTACCCCGCTGTGCAATGTTGGGCAAGCTATTATGCCTCTCTGTCTCTCAGTTTCCTTTATTCTAAAATGGACCCAGTAAGAGGTTCTGTTGCTAAAAAACAAGCAAAATCATACCAACAAACCAAGCAAGAGAAATACTGAGAATTTGGTTTAGCATGATCAAGGTTAGCATCTTAGATTTGCAATAGGGATGCAGGGTTTAGCATTATAGAAGGATCTAGGCATTCAACTCTGACTTTGTGTTGTAGAGACTAATTAGATAGTTTCTTCAAGGAATGTGGAATTTCTTAGAATTATGATTTATGTCATGTTAATTAAGTCAGGTTTTGAGTTCAGCATTCTTATAAAACAAACATTTATAAGACTAATAGTGATACATGTAGGTAAAACTTAAAAAACTCTAAAATGCTTCTTCCTTGCCTAGTGTGGTTTGTATTTAATAATAAGAGTTTTATTTTAAATT